CACCCCGATGGACACAGGCTCCAGCAGAGCCCTCGGGGTGTCACAGAACCACCCCGATGGACACAGGCTCCAGCAGAGCCCTCGGGGTGTCACAGAACCACCCCGATGGACACGGGCTCCAGCAGAGCCCTCGGGGTGTCACAGAATCTGTCCCACTCTCACATTGGCACTGTCCAGAGTGATACCCCAAACCACGTGGATGGGAAGGCTACACATACCAGCAACAGGGAAAGGTCCTGGGGCACCCTTTGGTTGCAGAAAGCTCTCAGAGAGCTCTGCACTGTTCCCCACACGCAGGCAGGAGCCAAGCAATGCCCTGCCAGCAAGTTCTCCAGAGAACATCCAGGCCGGGGCTCCTGCAGAGCTCACCCTTGTCCTCCAGCTCCGGTATTGTTGATCTGCAATCCAGGCCTCTTCCTGCTTAAATCCCCACTCCCGTGGTCCAGGCCACCAGATAGCTGGGCACTGGTGGTGCCATGCTCCTAAGGCACCAGCTCCGAGCTAGCTCATGGGTGCCTTGGCAATACAATTTCAGGGATGGATGAAAGTAGCTTGAGGGCAGAGCTCACCCTGTTACCAAGAAAAGCCATTTTGGGCAGCTCCCATGCACTCAGAAGGCTGTGTGGTCCACCACTGCTCAAAGACAGCACTGCTTGTGCCACCACAAGCTTCACCCCTCGCTTTATGGAAGCCCTACAGAACTAGGAGCCCCGTTTTGGCCAAAGAGGCTGTGGAAGTCAGATGCTAAAAGAAAAAACCCAACAACCCCCAGGGCAAACAAAGCCTCAGTTTGCCCAGGCAGAAGACTTTTTTTCTACCCTTACTGTCTTATGTGACAGTTCAGTTGTTCAGTCTGGAGAAGAGAAGGCTGAGGGGAGACCTTCTCGTGCTCTATAACTACCTAAGGGGGGGTGTAGAGAAGCAGGGGTTGGTCTTGTCTCCCAAGTCACAGGAGATAGGACAAGGGGAAATGGTCTTGTCCCCAAGTTGTGCCAGGGGAGGTTTAGATTGGATGTTAGGAAAAATTTCTCCAAGGAAAGAGTTATTCAGCATTGAAATGGGCTGCCCAGGGAAGTGGTTGAGGCACCATCCCCGGAGATGTTGAAAAGACGGGTTGACATGGTCCTCAGGAATATGGTTTAGTGATTTTTTTAGTGCTTAGTTAGGTTGATGGTTGGATTAGATGATCTTTAAGGTCCCTTCCAACCTAGACGACTCTACGACTCTACCGCACGCGTGCTTCCCTCTGCCCTGCCCTCACCTTTGAGCGATGGACCTCGCCGTCGTCATCCTCCCCGCCGACCCCCAGGATCTTGCGTGTCTTCAGCCGGCTCACCAGGTCGGTCTGGCTGTGCTTCTTCATCAGTGGCGGGGGCTGCTTGGCCGCCATGGTGGCCCCCGGCTGCGAGGGGACAACAAGGGCAAGGTGGCGGAGGGGGGGGACCACGGGAAGCAGCTCCGCTGTCACATGAAATTCCACGAGGTTCAGAGAAAAAAAAATAAAAAAATAAAAACCACCACAAAAATCTTCCTGTTAAGCCGGGAGATGGCTCTTCATGGTCCCGGGGCAGGGAGCCCTGGTGGTGGGCTCATCTCAGGGTGATGCTGCTGTCCTCGGGATCTGCTGAGAGGAAAAACAGAGCAGTGTGGCTTTAGGGTGGGCATTTACCTATAAGTGCTTTTCACCAAAAAACCACAGTCTGATCTCGTCCCAGCACGAGGCAATGCCCAACAGAACCTCTCTGCTGTTTTGGGAATTAAATGCTCCCCAGACTAGAGGAATTAAAGCCACTAAGTGTCGCTTTGCCTTTTGGCTTTCCCCATGCCAGGCGTCATAACCTTCTGCTGCCACTTCAGGCCAAATTCCACACAAGTCCCAGGTATTTATTTGTGTGTCCCCCCAAGATGTTGCAGCCCTCACATCGTGCCAGAACACGCCAGCCCCTGAACAACAAGCCAGAAGCAAGACTTTCCTCGTGGATAGGTTGTTTTATGGGAAACGGAAGATGATGGCAACTAGAAACTACAAATACTACCCGGGATAAGAACAAGACAAATTTAAGGGACAGAAGGTAGGGTGGAAGAGATCTCTTTTGCCTGGGCACGGCGGTACAAAGGTAGAGGTGTCAAGAGTCCTGTGAAATGGTTCTACATCAACCTGCAACCGTAAAACCCTGGAAAGTCTTTCCTTCCAGTTGGTCTTCACTATGTCTTGGCTCAGTTGAACACCAACACATTCTCCCATTTGCCACTTGCCCACCCCCAGAGACCCACGGATGAGCCCCCCACAGAGGCACCAGGGGCAGCTAATCCAGCAGGGCTCCAGCACCAGCATTTCCATACCCCAGCCCAGCCTTCCCACACGTGCCCCGGGAGAAAGGAACTTAATTTTGTGTCCAAAGAGTTCACAAATCCTTGGGGAGTCATGAAACAAGGCACTGGTGATTTTGGCACCCTGCAGGCCAGCCTCATCCCGCTGCCTTGCAAGGGATTGCCCTTCTCACAAGGAAACCCTTCCCCGTGGCTGCCTGGACAAGAGCAGACGGTCGTGTCTGTGAGTGCCCAACACATCTCCTTCTGCGAGACAAAGCCAAGAGGTCTCACTGGGACAGAGCAAAGACTGAATTCCCTGATGGACAATTTAATAAGACCCTTTCAGCAGGCCACAGGCAAAACCCTTTTCAGCGAGCCAGTTGGATGTGCAGGTCCTTCTTTTGGACTGTAGGGGGTTTTGTTCAGCTGTTTTTCAATTTATTTTTTTTCTTTTATTCCACTGAATAACTAAGCTCAGGTTCCTGGAAAGGCAGCACAGAGCCAGATGGGTCTAGAAATATTTCAGAAGTGGGACAAGGGAAAACAACTGCTCAGGAGGAAGGTGGAAGCTGTGTACTCATGCCAACACTCGAGCACAAGGCAAGAAGCTCAAGAGGTAGCTGCTAGCAGAAAAGTTCAGAAGATTCATCATGTCTGAGGTTCGCTGACCCAAACTGTCACAATAACTTGTGGGTACTCAAATCTAAGTAATCTGCACACAAAATCCACCCCAAAGCTAGAGTGATGTGTCAAAAACGAAAGCTTGACCTTTTTTAAATTTCTTTTATTACAGTTTCTGCAGTCCTTTCTGCTCTTGGCAGACCCAGACTCAGCAGATTGGGTATGGAGTGGCTTCCCACCAGAACCACACTGCTGCTGAAAGGGCAGAAGACCTGTTGCTGTGGTATTTCTAGCCCAGCCTCTTCTGATCCAGGCTGTCCAGCCCAATCCTGAAGCAACACCCCTCTGCTGAACACTCCTCTCTCAGGCCGAGCCTCAGGACCACTCTGAGACCATCCTGCATCCCTCACGTGGCCCAGGGCAGCTCCTGATGGCCTGAGCAGCACCACCAAAGCCCTCCCCAGGGATGAGAGACCCAAGGCTTGCTGGTCTGGAGTCCTCAGCACAGGAAGGACATGGACCTGTTGAAGAAGGTCAAGAGGAAGCCACAAAGATGCTCCGAGGGCTGGAGCCCCTCTGCTGTGAGGACAGGCTGAGAGTTGGCAGGATTCAGCCTGAAGAAGAGAAGGCTCCAGGGAGACCTTAGAGCCCCTTCCAGTCCCTCAAGGGGCTCCAGGAGAGATGGGGAGGGACTCTGGATCAGGGAGGGGAGCCATAGGAACAAGGGGGAAGGGTTTGACACTGAAAGAGGGGAGATTCAGATGAGATATTAGGAAGAAATTCTTTGCTGTGAGGGTGGTGAGAGCCTGGCCCAGGTTGCCCAGAGAAGCTGTGGCTGCCCCGTCCCTGGAGGGGTTCAAGGCCAGGCTGGATGGGGCTTGGAGCAACCTGGTCTGGTGGGAGGTGTCCCAATGATCTTTAAGGTCCCTTCCAACCCCAACCATTCTATGGTTCTATGATTTGTGGTACTGAACTTGGGGTACTGAGTGTGCTTGGCCACACCAGCCGGGACCTCCAGATTCCCCTTGGCTACTTGCTAGGGAAAGCCTGCTGCCCACACCTCCTGCTCTGTCCTCAGTGGTACTGAGTGTGCTTGGCCACACCAGCCAGCATCTCCAGACTCCCCTCGGCTATTTGCTAGGGAAAACCTGCTGCCCACACCTCCTGCTCTGTCCTCATGGGCAGAAATGGCCAGGGAAGGGAAGATGGGATGGGAAAAACAAAGGAAAAAAAAAAAAGACATAAAAAGGAAAAGTAGTAAAAAGAGAGAGAGCAAGGGGGGGTGAGGGGTGAAGAGGGAGAAAAAGGGGGAGGGAGAAGACATCTTCAGATCTCCAGAATCTCTCCTGAGGGCAAGAAGCACAGGACAGTGGTGAGGGCTGAAGGGGAGACTCCATGACTCGCTGATGGAGACAGCAAAGAACAGTTTTGTGGTCACAGAGGCTGTTTTGTAACTGACCACAGGCCAAACAGACCAGAATTTGCTTTCTTCGGTCGTCTCGCCAGTTGCTGTCAGGGCAGGAGTTGGTGGAAATTTATCCACATCATCATTAGCACTGCTCTCCCGTTAAGATTTTTCCACTGATTTGTGGCAGACCACTGTCCAAGAGCCGGGACAACGCAGGCCAGATGTAAGTGCCAATAAAACAATCACCAAAGGCCATTCTGGAACATAGAAATATACACTCCCACCACACTCAGCACAGCTACGGCACGGTCCCACATCTCATTATCCCCACCTTCCAGAGAAAGAGCCAGTTTAACGAATACTGAGTATTAACGAATAATGAGCTAACGAACGCATTAGTGCTAATTCAACGACATTCAGACGGAAGATGCCGAGGATCTGAAAGCCTTATACTTACGTTAATGTCTCCTGACACACTGACAATCTACAGGATGTTTTCTATTAGCCCGTGCGTTTTCAAAGGGGAACCTCCACCTCCTCCTCCTCCCGGGATTCTTCTCTCCTTAAGCCGTTTCCTGAGCATCCCAGGGGCTGCGCAGATCAATCACCATAAACAGGCAATTCCTACTCCCCGGCACGGCTCTCGGTGGCAGGCAGTGCTTATGTGCAGCTGAAAGAGGGTTTGGTTTGGGTTTTTTTTCCTCCAAAATCCTTTTTCTTTGCAGGCTCCTTTCAGCGTCTATTCCCCGGCTCAGCAGCTCAGCATACTGCACCCAATTTTGCTTCGTGGTGCAAAGAAACCTCCACCGGTGCCACGCTAATGATAGCTCAAATCTCTCCCCACCTCCACAGCTCTTCCCCCAGCCTCCCTGCCTCCCTCCCAGCGTCTGCAGCAGGGGAGAGGGGAGACTCCACCGCACACGCGACGCTGCTGCAGCAGCCAGAGCTGCCTACCCATCCAGGGAGGTGGTTAAGAGAGAGGAGGTGGCACTCCAGTACCTCTCACTCCCAGGGTTGGAGGGCACTTCCCATCCGTGCAAGCAGAGGAGAAAAATGAACCGGAGTCAAGCCAGGATGATGGGTAAAAGGTTCACACATTTAAGCTGGTCACAAGCTGGAGGGAGGGGATGGCATCCAGAGGGACCCGGACAGGCTTGAGAGGTGGGTCCGTGCAAACCTCATGAAGTTCCACCAGGCCAAGTGCAAGGTCCTGCACCTGGGTCACAGCAGTCCCAAGCACAAAGATGGGTTGAGCAGAGAATGGATTGAGAGTAGCCCTGAGGAGAAGGACTTGGGGGTGCTGGTGGATGAGACGCTCAACATGATCCAGCAACATGTGCTTGCAGCCCAGAAACACAACCCCATCCTGGGCTGCATCCCCAGCAGCGTGGCCAGCAGGGCCAGGGGGGGATTCTGCCCCCTCTGCTCCACTCTGGGGAGACCCCACCTGGAGCTCTGTGTCCAGCTCTGGAGCCCTCAGCACAGGAAGGACATGGACCTGTTGGAATGGGGCCAGAGGAGGCCATGGAGATGCTCCAAGGGCTGGAGCCCCTCTGCTGTGAGGACAGGCTGAGAGAGGTGGGGTAGTTCAGCCTGGAGAAGAGAAGGCTCCAGGAGACCTTAGAGCCCCTTCCAGTACCTGAAGGGGGCCTGTGAGAAGGATGGGGTCAAACTTTCCAGCAAGTGTGTGTTGCAATAGGAGGAGTAATGGTTTTAAGCTCAAAGAGCGTGGATTCAGATGAGATATAAGGAATAGTTTTTTTTATGATGAGGGTGGTGAAGCACTGGCCCAGGCTGCCCAGAGAGGCAGTAGATGCCCCATCCCTGGAAATATTCAAGGTCAGGTTGGACGGGGCTCTGAGCAACCTGATCAAGTTGAAGATGTCCTTGCTCATTGCAGGGGGAGACGATCTTTAAAGGTTCCTTCCAACCCAAACTATTCTATGATTCTGTTCTATGATTCATGCTGTATTTTTATGTCCCAAACCCATGGTGACTGAACCAGCTCCCTGCCTAGATTTCTATCCAGAACAGACATCTAGATGATTAGGACCTCTCTGCCACCAGCCAGCTGCAGGAGTCCATCACTGTCCCCATCTCCCAGTGGATTTCTTTCACTCCAGCTGCAGCACACAGCTTCGCACACCCGGGGCTAGCAACGCATCTTAAAACAACACCAGAATAATTTGCATTTTTTTGCTGGGAGGAGTATACTGTGACCCATGCCCTGGATGAGGGGTGTTAAGTTCTCCACCCTAGCGATGAGAAACGCTCCTAAAGCGGTTTCTGCTGGTCAGGAAGCCTCAGAGACCGGCAGGGAATGAAACTTGATCAAGCCAAAAATAACCTGATGCTCAGGCAGTAAAAACAATTAGCACTCAGCCACCAGGGCAGCATAATGTGGCTGCTGCTGCCGCTCAGTCTGGCACAGTCTGTACACCTAAGCAACAGGGATACTTCAGATTTCTCACCTGTAACGAGCCAGGTACACAGGACTCCCTTCCCACATCAACACCAGCCCATTTGGTGCAGAAGGCTCTTTGCAACACCAGTAGGAAACACATCTTGCCAGAGGTTCATTCCCACCTCTGCCACAGCCCTGCTGCTTCCTTAAGGAACTCCAACAGGCACAGGGACACTGTCTTCCATAGGGAAACCTACCAACCTGGACAGTAGATCTGTCTTATGTGTGCTCCTGCCCCTACACATAACGGAAAGGCAAAGCAAAAAACCTAGGTGAAAAGACATCTTCACTGGGTGCCTCCTGATCATTTCCTACAGACAAGCCAGAGGAAACCTCAAAACCCAAACCACCTGCGATGCAGGAAGAGCTGCCTGAGGCACATCCAAAGCTCACCCTGCAGGTTAGACGTGCCCCATGGCCAGTCACCCTCCAATGCTCTTTGTGAGCAGCACAGAGCTAGCCCTGGAGCCACCACCTGCGAGGCGGTGACACCCCATTCCTAACACAGCTCCAGCAAGCACTAATGCCGTGGATGTGGCCAGCACCACCACTCAGCAGGGGACAACACGCTGTGGGGGTCAAGAGTTGGTTTGTGTTCCTTACCCTGTTGTCCCTGCAGGCAGAAGAGGGCACCCAAAGCCTGCTCAGCCTTTCCCACACATCCCTAAGGCTGCATCCCCCGGGGAAGGCTCAGCCCCTGCACCCTCCTTGATGCAGATCTTCTCCTCCATCCCAGCTCTCCTGTGGCCAGAACAACATCCAGCCCCAAGCAGCACCATCACCGAGGGCCAAGCTGTACCATCTGGGAGGTACGGCCCAGCTGAAGGATTTTATTGCCTGTAGGTTTCACATTTCCTTTTGCAGGGAGCATGGGGAAGTTTCTTTCCGTGTCACAGGATGTGTTATATAGCAATCAAAAGCTGCGAAGCGCTTGGCTTCCCCAGAACAAGACACAAAAAGCCCTGTTGCTCTACCAGCGTCTCGAACGGGAGCTATAATTAAGCCATCACACTCCTACCACCTGCAGCAAGACACCAACCCCTCCACGGGGAGCAAACATGCTCAGGCTTTCACGTCTGGGGAGAAACGCCTGTTTGCCCCAAGCTGCAGCTGGCTGGGCCCCCTGCCACACGCTGAACACACCGGGTCAGGCACCCGGCATGGCCACCAACACACGTGACACCCCACATGTGGCCTGGTGGGACACCCAGCCCCACCACAGGAGGGGATTCTGCCCCCTCTGCTCCGCTCTGGGGAGACCCCACCTGGAGCACTGTGTTCAGCTCTGGAGTCCTCAGCACAGGAAGGACATGGACCTGTTGGAGAAGGTCCAGAGGAGGCCATGAAGATGCTCTGAGGGCTAGAGCCCCTCTGCTGTGAGGACAGGCTGAAAGTTGGGGGGGTTCAGCCTGGAGAAGAGAAGGCTCCGGGGAGACCTTAGAGCCCCTTCCAGTCCCTCAAGGGGCTCCAGGAGAGATGAGGAGGGACTCTTGATCAGGGAGGGGAGACATAGGATGAGTGGTGACAGTTTTAAACTGAAAGAGGGGAGATTTAGATGAGACATTAAGAAGCAATTCTTTGTTGTGAGGGTGGTGAGACCTTGTCCCAGGTTGCCCAGAGAAGCTGTGGCTGCCCCATCACTGGACAGGTTCACAACCAGGCTGGATGGGGCTTGGAGCAACCTGGTCTGGTGGGAGGTGTCCCTGCCCAGGGCAGGGGAGTAGAACTGGATGATCTTTAGGGTCCCTTCCAACCCAAACCATTCTACGATTCCATGTTTCATCCAACATGGGTGTGCTTGGCCACACCATCCAGCTCCCTCAAGCCTTGCCGCTGAGGAGTGTTTTGGCTGCAAATACAAAGGACACACGGTACAATCTGCTGCTTGAGTGGCTTCCATCTGTATCACTTACATATTATATGCCCTCCATCATCCTCCTCCCTGCCGTGGAAGCTCTCAGCCTGGCCAAGCCCAGCAATCCATCACCCCAAATCTGTCCTCGCTCTCCCCAATGGCTCAGGCAGCCCTGTCCCAGCCTCAGCCCACATCCACCACCAAGTCCCTGACCTTCACCCCAGGCAGCCACCACCAGGTAGCCAAGTTTCCCGGGGAGCTGGGAGGATGGAGAGGGAAGGAAATAAGACATATTGGGATGGGGTGCTGTATTTCTTTAAGGGCATTAAAAGAAGAATTCCTCTTTTATTTCCCAGCTGCCTTAGACAGGTGTTTGTGGGAGACAGTCCCAGAAGCTTAGTGGGCCATCTGTCCTGCAGATGATTTCTACAAGGAAACATTAGAATGAAAAATAAAACCCATATGCACACACACACACAAGTAAAAATAAAAAACAAAACACAAAAAAACCCTAAGTAAATCCACCCTTGCTACTGGAAAAGAGCAGTTTTAAAAAGCCAGGAGAGCCCTGCAACCAAATAGGGTAATAAAGGAGGGTTTTAAAAAGAATCTGATGCAACTCAGTATTTCATCTCCTCTGCCTCATACCTGAGGAACGACACTGGCTCAAAGAAGCTCTATGGAAAGCAACCCTGGGACCAGGGAGAAGCCCACACCCACGGCACCGCTGAATACTGGACCATCACAGTAAAATGGGGCATCTTGGCATTTCTTCCCCCAACAACCTCAAACCTCCCCAGATCTTCTTTCCACCGTGCTCCCAAAGCATTTGACGATTTCCACTCACAAACCTTCCAGGAAGCTGATCCCCTTTATTCCCAACAATCCTCCAGCTCCATCCCTTTCCAGAACTTAAAATTGTAAGAAATTACAATCTGGGAGATTCAGTCCCCTCATTCACACACGAGCACGACGTCACTCTGCACAGCGTCACTGGGATGGTGATTTTAAAGCCACCTTTGATGGGTTCTCCCCCAAAAGAAGATGAACTACATCTCCAGCAACATTATTTATCCGCAGTCTAGTAACTTGGTACCTGGTACAATGCAACTACCACAATTTATAAACTACCCATATGTCTACAACCATGAAATGGAAGATTAAATGAGTGAAGTACCACTCCACCACCCCAAAAGCAGGTTCCTGATCTGTTTCAGGAGTGGATTTGCACTCCCAGCCCGAGAACAGCTGCTGCAGGACACCCCAGCACCAGCAGATTTTTCTTTTTCTTCCATTTTTGTAGAAAACAAAGGGTTCCTCTTCTCCCATAGTCTGTCATGATATGACCAGATGTGCAGTCTAGGCACACACAAAGAAGGGGGGGAGGAAAAAAGGGCAGACGAATAAATTTGCATTAAGCAGGGAGATTGCCTTTTGGTCTAGCTAGGACATATCCCGAGTCCCAGGCACACCGTCAGTCACAGCACTCACCCCTCTT